AATTTTTAAAAAGTACACTGCTTTTCATGAATGTGGATCTGATAACGGGTACTAAATTAATACAGAATAAATTATTAGAATGTTGAAAGTTTGTTATTACGCTACATCAAGCTATAATAATTTGTAGGATGTAGTTCAAGAATTCATCAAAGTGGTTGTTAAAAACTTAAAGTTCTATCTTTAGAATATTAAAATAAAGATTCATCTTAATGAATCTTTGATGTGCTAAAAAGTAGGAGAACTTTTTATTAACTATATAATATACTAAAATACTAAAAGTTTTACTAAATTTTAATGTACTTAATAATAATAACATTTTAATCTACTAAAAAATAATAAAATTACCTGCTATTAAAAACAAAACACACTTTTCAAGAAGTAAGGTATCACTCAACTGTAAGATAATATATTTGCTCTTCACCCCAATATGTCAACATTACAGCTGAGTCACCTAAAAGACTGACATGGAAAACAACAATATGATAAACTCGTTCATCATAATGTGCAAAAAATGCATTGGTATTGTAGGAAGTTAAAACCCACCCCACTCCTAGAAATGAAATATTTTAGGAAATATTAAAAAGGGCAGAATATTTCTCCTAAAAGGGAGGCAGAAACTCAGCCCCCCACCCTTGTTAATGTGCCATTAAGGCCTGGGCCAGTCTATTCTATGTAACAAAGATCTATCTCCTTCAGGCAGAGCCATTTAATTGTCCATCATTGCATCACCCAGCAAGATTCAACCAAACTTAACAGACAGACAACCTAAAAAGCTAGCTAGGATCTCTGACAGCAACCAATCAGGATACTCTTCCTGTACCCCAGGAAGCTCAAAGCCAGAGAGGGTATAAAACCCAGGGACTCTCAGCATCTCTTCCCTTTTTGCCCAGGATCTCAAACCATGTAATCCTGTTCATCAATAAACCTTCTTTTCAAGCAACCTCCATGAATCCAGTGTCTTTTTCCCCACATGGAACTGAACCCAGATGGACATTTCTTCCAACAGTATAAATTGTAACAGCCTTTCAGCAACTAGGAGCTTTTAAAAGTATTAATTTTTATTCCAGATAATTAGAAAGGACACCTGGATAATCAACAATACTTCTGTTGGATTGTCCTGTCAGAAACTTCTATTGTCTTTGAAGTCAGAAACAATTGTTTAGCACTAAGAGACAGTGAATCTTATAAACATCTTCTTAGATGGCATTGCCATAAATTTCCAAACGAACCTTGTTCAAGGTCAGCTGTTAAAGAGGGCAGGTATCAACATAGTTTTCATGGAGTCTCGAGTAGTCTTTAAGTTTTACACAAATAGACATTAATTGTGTTCCTGCCATTAAATCTACTTAATGAACTGACACTATAAATTCTCTTCAGTTTTATGATGTTCCATTTAAATCCACAGAATATAAGAAGATTCTCCATTTTTGGGGAAAAAAATAGAAGCAACTGAGGTTTCTACTTATACTTACTGTAAATAACACTACGGTTTAAAGTGGTAACTGTACGTAACTGAGAAGAGGAATGTATTTTGCATTAAAAACAAGCAAGATGTCTTTCAAATGAAGGGAGTAAGAAGCCATAACAAAGACAGCACTGAACAATTATATTAAGTGGATTTTTTAAATTTATTTTTTGCTTTATAACCTCTTTTGATACTCTGCCTGAATAAATATCAAGGACATAGGTATTTGAAGCAATGTTACTATATGTTATAAAGTTGATGCCTAGCAATCCAGGAAGGCTGGCATTGACAATATGAATCCATGGAGCTTAAAAAAAAAAGCAGGCAGACTAGCAAGAAGAAAGAGATGTACTGAGAATTATGTTCATATTAAAAGAAAGAACATACAGTAAGTAAAGAACTAGAATTTCAAGAAGCAGCTTTTGAGTCTTTTTACATTTCCCATCTCCCAACAGTTTATCTCTGAATGAAAATAAACCAAATCAATAGTCCTCAGGTCACCATGGCTTAGTCTATGCTAAAATCCTCAACTTTCCCCATTACTTCCCTTTCATTATTGCATGTCTTTTTCCAGGCCCTCCAAATGACAACTTTTCTCTTTATTTAGCTGCTACATCATCATCTATACAACATCCTTGAGATCTCACATCATCATCACATCCATCCAGGCGTTTCTGTCATCCCTCTTCAGGATAATTGCCTCACAGCACCCTCCTTCTATGACTTCTATACATATTTCTGTTTGATGGCACAGAGGCAATAGTCTTCCCTTTTTCTGATTTGTTATTTGTCAGTGATAACACATAATATCCAACGTAGCTTCAAATTTATCTGGGATGCAAAATGTGCTTCTCACCATTCAGTCAAAAGTGCCACTGGGTGCTTTCAATTACTTCAAGTTCCACCTTCTTTCCTTTGCACAAGATCTCAACAGTGCAACAGGAGGAAGCCAAGGCTTGGTGCACTGGAAAGAGCCCTGCCATGCTGCCAACTAATTAACGGAGGAAGCTTATTTCATTTATGTTATAAGTATGACAGTATGTCATGTTAAGAGAGAAGTTCCCAGAAGAGGGCCTCCAGCACAAATCCGAAAGCTCGGAAGATAAAACCTCTGGTTCTGGTGACTGACTCAGATTGGATCCTGCAACATTATCCTGGGCCATGTATATTCGCCTTCATTCGTATGTTAAGACTGTCCAATAGACCGACATGTATGCATTAACTGTTATTAAACATCTTGACAGTAGCGAGAATTCTATATGTGAAAAAATAGAAAGATATGTCAATTCCCACAGTGGAAGAATAGATGGAAACAATGATGGAGCTAACAGAAATAGCAAAACTTTTTTAAGGAAAAGAACTTATCCAGTTTTGTTTCTACTTGGAGACTCCTTCTAGACTGTCTGTTTGAAATAGAAAAAATATATATGAAATTTTGACTTTGGTTTTCAATTATTAGTTTGCTGCTATAGAAACAGCTAAAGGTTGTGGTGATGCAGTGGTTAGAATGAAGTACTGCAGGCTACCTCTGTTGACTGCTAGCTGCCTGCAATTTGGCAGTTCGAATCTCACCAGGCTCAGGGTTGACTCAGCCTTCCATCCTTCCGAGGTCGGTAAAATGAGGACCCAGATTGTAGGGGGCAATAGGCTGACTCTGTAAACCACTTAGAAAGGGCTGCAAAAAGCACTATTCAGTTTCAGTTTCAGTTTATTTAGATTTATATACCACCCTACTCCCGAAGGACTCAGGGCGGTGAACAGCCACGATAGAACATATACAATACAAAATTTAAAAAACAATTTAAAACGTATTAAATAAATTTGGCCCATACTAATTAAAATGCCCGTTTTTAAAAACAAATTAAAATTAAACAATTAAAAAGGAGTTAGGCCACTATGAAGTGGTATATAAGTCTAAGTGCTACTGCTACTGCTAGTATCTACTATGTAACAGTAAAACGTTGAAGTTGTAGCTCTATTCTGTATCTATTGTGCTGAAAAAAAGTGGTGAAAAAAAGTGCTTCTTTTCTTTCCCCTGTACCTCACCCTTCTTTCCCGCTTCTTTTCTCTTCTTCATTCTCCTATTTATTTCTGTTTGTATTTTACATTAAGATAAACTTCAATTAAAAAATTATAAAAAGCAAACAAACACATATACATAAACATGGCTTTGCAGCATGTAGCAGATGGAGAGGGCATCGTAACTCTTGGCTGCATTCTTAATTTCCTTCTCAAATAGAAAAGGAATACAAAAAGTAGTAGAGGAGTAAATGAGTTCTCATTTGCTAAATGGCTTCAGGCTGCACTGCAGACTTGCTAGATATATCACCACATTATCAGGTTGATTCACTCCATCTGCCCCTCAGATCTGGTCTCCTGACAATGGTAGGATCTGATGTCTTTGGTTGGATTATATATGAATCAGCTCCCACTCTCCTTTCTCTCTGGCTGAAGTTTCCTGGAATTGTGCAATTCTGTTCAGTCTGATCCTGTCCATTTTTACTGATAAATATTTCTTCCAAAAAATATGCATATGATTATGCACAGTGGTTTGCCACTGTTATGTAGAAGAATTATTCGGAATTTCCACATCTCTGAAAAATAAATTCTGGAGTATTAAAAACAAAACAAAACAATGCAACATGTAGTTTTTTTTTTTTTTTTTTTAAATCTTTATTTGGCAGTAGACTCCATATTTTAATATATAAGGGAACATTTTATGCTGGAATACTCTGGGTTAGTTCTAGTTCATGAATAAATAATATAGGATTCACATATTAAATGTACTTTACCAACAAAATTGTTGATTGCATGCTGATTTAATTGCACAGGAATAAACAAAATTCTTGCCCCCCTGTTCACCGTTTTCCGGAAGGAATAACAATAAAACAATTGCAAAAGAAAGTGGTGCCTTACATCCCCCCGTTAGCAAGCTCTCTTATCTTTGCTGAAATTCAAAAGTAGGTCATCCAGCTTGTTTCCAAAACACCACACTGATTTCTGAACAATTTTACAGTGAGGCTCCCTCTGTCCCTCTGTATAGATATTTTGAAAAGGGGGGTAGGTGGGCAGGAAATAAAAGAAGAATGAAGGAGAATGATCTGTTGTTGGACATTATTTTTAGCTTTTAAATAAATCTGTCATGCTATTGAAGCTCAGCCTAATGACAATAATTATATAGGCTCTGAAGAAATGCGATTAGGTGAGCTCGGAAATCCATAGCAACTATTGTTACTCATTTTCTTGTATGACAGGGTTGTCATTTTGGTAATCACTGGAGCATATGCTTAACGACTGCTTGAACTTAGACTATTTTCTTTTTAAAAAAGTCTACAAAGTTGGAAACCATCGAGAACTCACAATCTAACAGAGCTATGCTACATCAAAGGGCCTATATTAACTTTGCTATAAAAGAAAATCTGTACAATTCAGCTGTTGACAATTAGAAAGGGAGGGTTGGAGAAGAAAGGCTGGAATCATTTAAAAAAAGTTGTCAAGAAACAATCAGTAATGAAATTTTGTGTTTTATTCTCAGGGTGAATTATGATACTTTTAGATACTGGAAGGCGACCAATAGAAAAAAGAATACAAGAGATATAGAAAGAAAGGCCTACTACATGAAGTATTTCCACTCTTCAAATGTCTTCGGAATGTCTTCAAAAGAAAAAACAAGTCCAGCTGCCTCCTGAAAAAAGCACCTTTAGGACAACCATGACCTGGATGACTGAGAATCTACATAGACTTTCACCTATGCATTTTGGGATGAACATCTTTCGAATGGTGTGGAAGTATGAACGGATTTCCAGAAAAACTGCAGACTACAGGAATCATTTGCACTTCAGTTTGAGATGCAGACAACACAGACTCATCCCCAACAGAGCCTGCACCTGTCTTCAACAGAGAAGGGACACAGGGCAGAAAAACATCCTGCAGCCAAGAAGGCTTCACACCCATTTGCACTACTCAGGTGACCCTGAGGACACAGATAAACCCCCAAGTGGCCTCAATGACTCTCTAAAAAAATGCAAATGACCAACTCTCTGCAACGGATATAAATCCTTCCATTACCTACCATCCAGTCAGAGCTGAAGAAGGCTTCTTGGATGAGAAGCGAAATGTCTTCAAAAGACGAAACAAGGAAGTCCAGTTGTCACCTGGAAAAGCACCTTTAGGATAGCCTTACTTCATCACAGTTATCCTGATGTTTGGACTGAATTTGGCATTTGTATGCATCTATTGAGTCAGATGTTCTTGTTTGATGGTATTAAATAGATCATTGATGAATGTAAACTGTTCCAAGAAAAGCTATCTTTTGCAATTGACTGACTGTGATTTTCACTGCCAGCTTCCCACAAGGAAAGTCAGTGTTGATTGCAGAATGCGGCAACTTCATGGGATTCACTTAACAATGGCAACTGGGATTGCTGTAACTGCTGTCATAAGTCAGTGTGGTCATGTGATGCTATGCTTTATAATCACATTGTTTAGCAAGGGAGTTCTAGTCCCAATTACCATAAATAAACGAGGATTACCTGTACTACTAGCATTTAGTTGTCTCCCCAGGCAGCCATGAATGAATTGGATGAGAAAATGCTAACATATTGATAACTCATCACATCTCCATGAGCCCAAGGAGATATAAGGGATGATGTGAACTTTCACTGTAATTATTGCATGTGAAAAACATGTTCTAGCATGTTGAATCTGCATAACATGAAAAACATGACAAAATCTTGTTGATTGTTTTGGGAGATACTTCTACATTTTACTGTCATTTTTAGTGTAAGGCATCGTTCCAAACTAATGACAAGGGTGAGTTTACTTGCCATGCAATAGAGACTCCAGATCAGGTTTACTGGCTTTGTGCTTATCTTCAAGAAAAATTCAAATTGCTTGCTTTTCTTAAAAGTCTCTGGATAGTTTGGGGACAAGGATATGTTAAAGTCTACTTCCTCTTAATTGCATCTACCTATAATTTGCAATGAGACTTTCCATTATAGATCCACCCGGCCCTTTGCAAATGAAAAAATCCCCCTCACATTTGTGGTACCTGGAATATGCCAAAAGAGACTCTATTTGATTATTCTTTAGATGCTGTTTAAAAGCTACATTGTTCCACTAAGTTTTTAATGCTGTCCTTGCTTTATTTTTTTTAATCTGGATGGTGTACAACACTTGAGGCACCCACTGGTTGGAGGGACAACACATAAAAATGTTATTTGCCTGCAGGCACGCAAAGATGTCGTATAAATAATGTAGTGGCTTTTTCTTTTTGGTCCATTCCAACCCAGAAAAAAATATCAAAAGGTAGGTGAAAGGGCTCAGAACTCTGTCTGCCTATTCACTGGTCTCCGAAAGCTGAACAGAATGAAAAGCACTTTGGAACGGTAGGAGAAATGAACAAAAGAAAGACTGAGCATAAAAATAGCTGAATCACAGCAGGGCTGCAGGAAAAAAAAATTATTCCAGAAAAAAAATCCCTAACATATCCCTCTGGGAGAATCAGCTGGGCAGCAGCTTCAAAGGCTGCCAACAGGTTCTTTTTCCTTTGGCCACAGAGCAAGATGCATGCACCAGTGGTGGGTTTCAATTTTTTTTTACTACCAGTTCTGTGGGCGTGGCTTGGTGGGCATGGCTTGGTGGGCGTGGCAGGGGAAGGATACTGTAAAATCTCCATTCGAACCCCACTCCAGGGGAAGGTTACTGCAAAATCCCCATTTCCTCCAATCAGCTGGGACTTGGGAGGCAGAAACTAGATGGGGGTGGGCCGAGTCAGAGGTGGTATTTATCGGATCTCTGAACTACTCAAAATTTCCGCTACCGGTTCTCCAGAACTGGTCAGAACCTGCTGAAACCCACCTCTGGCATGCACCTCTCCTGGGCTTTCCACGGATATACCCAGAGATACAAGACAAGAGGAAAGCAGACCCACACAAGTACATGCATGTGCACACACATACATACAGCCTATGATTTCAATAAACTGGAAAAATACAGAAGCCTCCTATGGCTCTTGCTGTGGTAAATAGGTTGGAAAGAATTCCAGAAGCCACGTTTTATATGCTTTCTCTATTTAAAGACAGCTTTCATTGTTCCTTCATCAGCAACAGCCTGATAGGTTTTTTTTAAAAAAAAAACTGCAGCAGGAACAATAGGATTATATAATTTGCTTATGTTCATCTGCCCATGAAAAAGCAAGAAAAGTGTGGTTGACTGCCCTGCAAGCCAGGAGGAAAAGTTACTGCTGCTGTTTGTCCTTCTCAATGGAGGCCTTCAGAATGCTTGATAGATAAACCCGAGGAAGAGAAAAGAATTGTTGAGGGGGCGTCACAAAAAGCATAAGAAAAAAATTAGCATTTATTAAACAACAACAAAAAAAAAACCTCTTAATGGCTGCAAGACTAAAAATGCTACACCTCAGGGCAAATCGTCTCATGATTTGGATCTGTTGCATAAGTACATCTCCAATTTTAAAAGCAGGAAATCTGATGAATTACTGTCATGGATGAGTGGGTTCTGAAAAGTGTTGCGTTAAGTAGCGTACAAAAATGCGGAGGAGCAGCTGAAATAGAATAAATGGACTCATTTACGAAGGTTGCGTATTAGAGAGATGAGGTAGTTTAAGTTCCTCTCCCATGAAGTTCTTCCAAGATTAAGAATGCTCCTATCATATTTCAGGCACACAGGAATAAAAGCAGAGAGAGAACGTATTTATAGTGACGAGAATACACTTTCCATGAATGGCAGGAAAGGTTTTGATTAAACCACACTGAATGATTAAAAACACATGTTTATGGTTTTTAAAATATAGCCTCCAAACCTTTAGGTTGGGCTGTCCCATGTTTGGAGGCCAGTAGTCACCGTTGAAATGTTTCAAATCTTGTGGGCACTCCCACAAGGTGGCTGTAATGAGGGGGACACACCATTAACTAGCAAGCTGGTGAATCATAAAGTCCACCTTTAGTAAACGGAACACCAGTGAAACTGTTTTCCAGGATACTCTCTAGCTGCTCAAGAATCTCACTGTCATCCCTTTAATCTTCTCTTTCTGGGCATGTAAGAACACTAAAACGTAGCACTGAGCAGCAGTTCACTGCTTTTCATTTGCTAAGAGAGGTCTGGAGTGTATAGAGAGAGGCATAAGGCTTCCTTGCAATTCACAATGAATCTACAACCTGACTTTTACTTTTCAAAAAACAAGACTGCAAGAAATAAAGAGTGGCAGCAGATAGAGATGGTTGCAACAGTGGGAAGAGGTTTGTAGCAAGAGCTTCTGTTTAGTTCCTCCCCCTCCTTTCATTCTGAATATTTTATGCACCTACTGCAGCTGTAAACTTCACTGCAATGTTTTCCAACCTTGGCAACTTTCTGAGACTTGAAGTTCACATATTTTAAAGTTGTTAATGTTGGAAAACACTCCATATCCAAACCCGATATCCAACGTCTTCATGATGATGGCTGTGTAGAACGGTCAGTGCAAAAAGGTTCCCTTCCCAAAGTCCAGAGAGAATCAGCTTATAGTAAGTTATTTTGGAGTTGAACTTGAACTTGCCAGTAGAACGTATCTGTGGAATCCGGGGACTTGCTTTTCCTGGCCACTATTTTAAGCATTTGCTTTTGACCTGGCTTTGCCTTCTTTGATCTTGTCAAAGCCAGATGTCTCATTCGAACAGCCTCAACCTGAACTGACCTAATAAACACAATCCCAGCTAGTGCTGCTGAAATCCATATGGAATAAGCTGGGAATGTGGAATTAGTAGGAATTTGCTCTCTCAAGTGAATAAAAAGAACAACCTAAATTGAAGTCATTGCTGTTATTCCAGCTGCAGAATGCATAAATTCAAATGTCAGATTTCACTTTAAGAAAATCTCATTATTCCACATGAGTCTTCTTGTATTATTTATTGTTCAAACAAAAATTACATTAAAGTTTCTGGAAGTTTGAGGGTTTTTTAAATTACAATTCTGAATTATAATAAAACTGAAGCACAGATTGGTTATCATTGTAGCTAAAATGACTAATCTAAATGATCCTTTAACCCAGGGGTCTCCATACCCCGGGCTACGACCTGTTCAAAAACAGGCTGCGGAAGCAGCGGGCGAGCATGCGTGCAGCTCCATTGGCATGACCAGCAGGCGAGCGCACACGAACAGCTCCATTTGTGCGAGCGGTAGTGCAGGTGCTTGCTGCTGGTGCAAATGGAATTGCACTTATGCATGTGATTGCCTGCCGCTCACACAGAACCGTTCCCTCTCCTTCTCTTTCCCCCCTCCCATTGGTCCACAAAGTTCGAAAAGTTGGGGACCACTGCTTTAACCTAAATTTCTTACCAGTCTCATCATGCTTGTTATCCTTCCTTTCTTAATTTTCATGAAATCAGCCCAGTGATGTATTTTCACTGTTTTTTCACATAACTATTTTATAGGCAATCATTTTTACTTATTTTGGAGGAAAGCTAATCTGCAGTGTGTCATAACTAGAGTGCAATAGATAATAACGAGATATTGGTGTAGAATGGTCACTCTGCAATCAATATGATTGCTTAGTTCTCTATATTCTACTCCGGTTAATTGGAACCAATTAAGTTTTAAAGCTAAATCTTGCTTTCTTTTTCCTTCTTCCGACAATCAAACTTTCAGGGAGTTTAGCAAACCCCTCCAAAATATAAGCAAATTCTTCCTTTTCATGGCGTATTATGTAATGTTTCTGCTGCAGTGGAAGAAAAGCTATTCTTTCAATAAATAAATAAAAAAATAAAGCAGGGCAACAAAAGACAAATGACAAAAGAGGAAACCACAAAAATGTAATAAAATGATTAACTTTCTTAATACGTTTAAAATCAGAATGCCCACAGGATATGGTAAAAAAAAAAAAAACCCTCTCAAGATGGCAATCAAAACTGCCAGGTTTTTCTACAGGTGTTGCCTGTGCAATACACTTAAAAAGCAGGTAAACCCTTTTGATTGCACCCTGCAGATACGTCTGTTTAAAAACACACATCTTGGATTTGGAGCAACTGCTTTAATCCATTCAAAGGTTATAAATAAGATTTTTCTTTAATCTTTCACAAAATAATCTCTGAATGGAGTAAGCCAACTCTTCTGGAAAAAGACACAAACTCTTAAATATGCTGAACTAATACATCGGTTTCAATACAAGGCCAAAGACTGCCTGTCTTTACAGTTTTTATGCTTCCTAACAGCAAGGCTCTTTAAACAGAAGGAGCAGTTTTGTTTTCGTTTTTGAATATAATACAGGACTATTCCCTGCTGGAATTTATATGTAATTT